TTTTTTCTCTTTTTGTTTTATGATTAGGTTCTGGAATTTGTTTGTTTCAAAAATGAAAGAAAAAAGTAGGAACTGAAACAGTTGACAACAACGGCAGTAAAGAAAGATATTAGGGAGTGTATTTTTTTTTGATAAATATATAAATTCAGTTAAACAAAACGCTGTTAACTGTTTACTAAACTTTTGCACAATTACTTATGCAAAGCATTGTTCTTTTGGGGTTTCGATCAAAAACACACAGCAAAAAAAACTCTTTTCTTTACGGCTTAAAATTAATGACGACCAACTAATAACAAAATTCGTACACCGCTTCTTTTTTCTACCCATTTTAAAGTGATTAAGAAGCAAACTAACAGATAAAGTGTAATATTTTTAAAAGAACTCTCAAAAAGATATTTGCAAATGCAAAGGAAAAAAAATAATGTAAAGAAATGCTTAGCATAAGAGCAAAGTTTGCGAACAGAAAGTTGAAAATGTCAGATAGCTGCAATTTAGTTAATTTGCGGTTTATTGTTAGGTTTATTCAACAGTTTCTGACTCCACAATTTCTGTGGAAATAACGTCAAAAGAGCACTATTTTTTACCTTCTTTTGTACCATAATTTTTTTTTTTGCTTCTGTTTGGAACGCGGAATCACAGAAATATCAGCCATTTTTTTTTTTCTGAGGACATATGCATCAAATTTTTTTCTTCGGCTTTTTTTGCTCAGCAAATTTTTCTTGATGGCAAAACCTGTAATTTTGGAGTTATTCAGTATGACAACTATAACAAAGATTTTGTTGTGTTAGAATATTAATGTCAATTTTAATATTTTACTTTATATCGGAAAAAAAAAACAACTCTCTATTTGATCGAATTGAGACTTATGTCAAAACCTTGTGGCCAACGAAATGTATCTTCGCTAAAAATAAATCAGTCGAACTTCACACTAAATTTATCACTTTTTGCTGATCTTTTTTCCTACCTTTTTTACAATTTTAGCTTAACAAACTGGGAAGAAATAGTAACGATTAATCCGTTTCTTGATGAATTTAAATTATATTTGTTTGTCTGAATTTTCGATCTCTCTCGATGACTTTACAATACCAAAAAGAAATTGAGGCTGGAAAAGTAATAAGAATGTAAGTAAATATATGTATATATCTATATTTATTTATTTATCTATACATCTGCTCAATTGGTTCAATTATAGACGAAATTTCAATTGTGAGTCTGATTAATATTAGGCAATCCACCAAATTGCGAAACATTTCTGAAAAAATTAGTAGTTTTTAAAAGTAACAGGATTTGAAAATTGTCTTTTCTGGTGGCTTATCGTTGTTTGCGAAAGCCTTTTTTGATTACATACTAAATTAAAATTGATTTGAAAATTTTTTTTTCTTGTGAAATTTTACACCAAATTTCTAAGCTTGAAATAAGTGTTGCTGGAAAACACCGTCGAGTATTTTTGAGATTACATAGACAGCTTCCTCAAAAGTCTGTAGCGTATGTCTGGCCACAGCCGTTTCACCGAGGTGACATTCAGGTGGTTGAAAGCAATACTGAATCCTTTTTTTTGCAACGATCTTTGATCTTTGTGCACCAGACAAAGTTTTGACCATTTGTGGAGTGACGCTTTTCCCCAATGCCTTTGTTCAACAGATCTCCCACCTAATTGACCGCAACTTTCAAGGCGCCTTTTATGGTTTCAGAAGTCAGAAGTGCTGCCAAAATAGAGCGGTAGCCAAAAAATACGTTTTACGTATTTTTTTTCAGCTATGGTTTCAATATATAAATATAAATATAAATATAAATATAAATATAA